ATTTGCTAGCTTCCTATCTGCATTGATTTATTTTCTTTTTACTTTATCTTTGTGTGTGTGTGTGTATACACACATAAATACACACACACACACACACACACACACACACACGTGTGTGTGTATCATATATATATAAGCAGGACTCATATTAAATTATGCAGCTCATCCAGCATTTGTTTCATAGTGCTAGCTAGATACATATTTGGAGGCCTGCCTTCTAATATGCCCAGTGTACATACACACACACACACACACACACGTGTGTGTGTGTGTGTGTGTGTGTGTGTGTATCATATATATAAGCAGGACTTATATTAAATTATGCAGCTCATCCAGCATTTGTTTCATAGTGCTAGCTAGATACATATTTGGAGGCCTGCCTTCTAATATGCCCAGTGATCACTAGATGGTGCTGTATATCTGTAAACAAAGATAACAGCAGCTGACATCTGCAATTTCTTCTTATAATAGTTTTTGAAGGTATTTAAAAAAACTCACTCCTCATGGTAATCTGTGGGGAAATAAATTCTACTTGCAGATGTTAATTTAATCCTATTTATCCTTTATGCAGAATTAGGACAAAATGTGTACAAGGCTGGTTTTTGGCAATACACTATGCTTAGGTGTCCTGTGCACATGAACTGTCTTTCTGAACTTGACTATGGTATAAGTGTCTGTTCTGAGCTGGAATTGGATAGAGGATGTTGAGACCAGTTGGAGACAAGTTCAAATTTCCATTACGAGTAGCTGGAGGCTATGGACTAAAATTAAGGGAATCAAAAAATTACTTTGTTCCTCAATTTGCCTTGCCCAGAGTGGTGAACCTATGACACTGCACATCTTTTGTACACCAACTCCTACATGTTCTTTATCACTCGGAATACAGGCTGGAGATGCTAGGAGTAGGACATCTCCCTTTATTCTGAAACCCCAGCTTCCACCTGCCTTAAGCAAAATCCTAACCTCCATCTGACTGTGCCAATGCCCTCAGAATTTCACCGAGCAATCCTATCTCAAAACAGAAACTCAGGCATACTGGCTAGAATCCTGCCATTGTGTGTTTTTTTTTTTACACTAACATATGAATTTATGCCAATTACTGAGTTGCAACATGTATTCTTTGTTGCTTGTACTTGGTGCATGATGAGAAATATAAGTTTTGACTTGCTAACTAGCAGCAGCCAACCAAAATAGATAATTTTCTTCTTTCTCCTTTCCTAATAATCAGCATATAATGTATGTTTCCCATTTGTTGATTTTTACTGTCATCTAACAACCCACCCTTTTGCCACATAACACTATTTAGTCAGAAGCAACCTCTTTTGAATGTAATGGAACTTACTCCCAGGTAAATAAATATAGGACTACAACCCAAATGTCCTTTCTGCATGGATTTCCTTTTGTACAAGGGGGAAATGGTCTTTAAATTGAAATAACAATGCCACTGAAATCAGATCCTTGCATAAGTCATTTGCAGTGCAAAAACTGTTGGAAAACCCTCATTTCTGCGACAAGCCACAGTGAATCCCTCACTTGTTCTTGATCTGACAAGAAAGTTACTGCTTAATGCTGTTATTCAAAATGACAACAGTAATCTAAGTAATAACTCTTGTCAGATAAGCAAGGGCTACTCACCATATCTTTTCTCTCCAGGCTGCTGTTAACATACTGTGTGGTAGCTCCTGGCAACTGACAATTGGTCAAGTAGCCACAGTCAGATGTGCTGAAGGTGGCAGAATGGGGCAGAATAGAACCTTGGGGAACTAGAGTTTTCTTGAGTGTTTTGGAGAGGAAAGATCTTCAGACACAATACTGTCTGGAAATTTAGTGCTGGGGGCAGTGGGAGCAGCTTTCAGGTGCTTGGTAGGCAGTATCTCTAAAGTACAATTTAGAAATATCATTTTTTTTACTACAACTCCTAGTTGGGTTGTGTGTACAATCCCTTCTGAATTAGGTTTAATGACAATGTGTAGTCCCTAAAGTCCACTCATGATTCCTCCACAGTAGGATTCCTACTGAGATGCATACTTCAGCAATCAGACTTGCAAACTAGGCTTGCGTTTACCTTCCAGTGCCCACTTACAAAACAAAGATGGCTAAATGCATGATATATTAGAAAACTCTCGTAATGAGGGTGAAAGAGGAGAGCACAAAAAATGGTCTGAAGCTCAACATCAAAAAACTAAGTTCACAGCCACTGATCCCATGACCTCCTCACAAATAGAAGGGGAAGATATGGAGGCAGTGACAGATTTTACCTTCCTGGGCTCCATGATCACTGCGGATGGTGACAGCAGCCACAAAATTAAAAGACACCTGCTTCTTGGGAGGAAAGCAATGACAAACCTAGACAGCATCTTAAAAAGCAGAGACATCACCTTGCCAAGAAAGGTCCGCATAGTCAAAGCTATGGTTTTTCCAGTAGCGATGTATGAAAGTGAGAGCTGGACCATAAAGAAAGCTGACCGCTGAAGAATTGATGCTTTTGAATTGTGGTGCTGGAGGAGACTCTTGAGAGTCCCCTGGACTTCAAGGAGATCAAACCTATCCATTGTGATGGAAATGAACCCTGAGTGCTCACTGGAAGAACAGATCCTGAAGCTGAGGCTCCAATACTTTGGCCATCTGATGAGAAGACTCTTGGGAAAGTGTGAAGGGAAGAGGAGAAGGGGACGACAGAGAACGAGATGGCTGGACAGTGTCATCAAAGCGACCAACATGAATTTGAGCAAACTCCGGGAGGCAGTAGAAGACAGGAGGGCCTGGCGTGCTCTGGTCCATGGGGTCACGAAGAGTCGGACACGACTTAACGACTAAACATCAACAATTAGAATAATCTGGCAACCAAGACTTTCAAATTAAGCTTGCAATTATCTCTGAATGACCGTTCACAAAATAAAGCATGCTAAATGTTTGTCATCTGCTAGTGGAAACAGACATGTTTTGCACTTAAAGAAACACCTCTTCTAAAGACTTGCCAAACATATTATCCAGTTTGACTCTTGACTTCCTGCCTTTGAGACTGTTGTCAACAAATTGGAGTGCTTCTCTCTGGCTGGAAGATGATTTCTGTTCTCTCCAAAGCTACCCTGTTTCCCTAAAAATAAGCCCTAACTTGAAAATACGCCCTAGTATGATTTTTTAGGATACTCGTAATATAAGCCCTACCCCCAAAATAAGCCCCAGTTAAGTGAAAACCTGCTCTCCACTGTTGTGCAGCAACCAGAAGAAGATGACATAACTGTATTTAAATAAATGTAGATTATTGTAGATAGGGGGAAAAAATTAAAACATCCCCTCAAAATACGCCCTATTGGGTTTTTGGAGTAAACATTAATATAAGACCTTCTCTTATTTTTGGGGAAACACGGGATGTAACTGAACTGCAGGAAAATTGTGAGCAAGCTTCAGAGTTCTTCAACAGCTGAATGCTAAAAAGTCAAAGTAGGGAGGGAAAAATAAGAGATTGTGTGAAGTTGTAGCATCAAAGCTTAATATTTGCTCCCAGTATTAAAACGAAGTGTAGGTGGAGATAATTAGATTAGATACGCTGCAGGTTTCAGGTTTCAGCCAGAAAATGCTGCTGGCAGAAAGAAGCATACTGTAGTTGATACCTTATTTTTCAAAATATGATAAGGGATGTTGTGGTGCTGGATATCATATCAAAATATGCTACTCAGATGTAAGTCCAGATCTGTCACTAGCCTTAAGAGAAATGCACAGTCTTCATGTTACGTAGTGAACAGAAGTAAAGGTGAACACAGCAGCTTTAAAAAACAGCAAATCTAAAGATCAAATTTAGATTAGGTTAAAAAAAAGTAAACAGAAGCAACACAAGATAGAATCATCTAATGATGAAATGGGAAATTTGTATTTGTCTCCTGGGGGAGATGAATACAAATATTACCATCACAGGTGGCTGGGCCCTTTGCTCCACCCCCAGAACCAGCTGGTTCACTTATTGCTCACAGCTAGGTGCATGAAACCATCATCGTTCGTGCTACACCAAGTAGCCCAGCTGGCAGTTCCCCACCTCCCTGCATTGCTGACAACTAAGCAGCTTAGCGGGGAGAATCGTCATCCAACCTCCTCAATGGAGTGGTCAGCAGCACAGGGAGACAAGGAAGCACCGGGCAGGCTACTTCTACAACTGGGGCAGGATTAGCGATGATGGCCATGTGCTGTGAGCAGTATGTGGACTGGCGAGTTCTGGGGAGTGGGTCCAAAGAGCTCAACCACCTGTGATAATAATATTTGTATTTGTCTCCCCTGGGAGACAAATAAGAATATGCCATCTCTAATGTACTGCACTGGTTTCCAACCTTGAGTAACCCAGGTCTTCTTGGGCTGCAAATCCCAGAAACTCTAGTCTAGCTGATAGTGAAGGCTTATAGGAATTGCAGTCCAAGAACACCTGGATTACCCAAAGTTGGAAACCACTGGTCTAGTGGTTGGAGAAAATGTAAGTCTCACAACATGAAGATCTTCACATTGTAGAAAATAACTCTCCAGTTCTAGGATCCCACTACTGAGTAGCTAAAATCTCCAAGAGACAGAAAAAAGGAAAATAAACTACATTGGTACGTAAGTAAAAGACTAAAATCCATATTTAGACATTGTGAGACAGTTGTCACTTACATGCACTTATTTTGGAATATTTATAATCCTGTGTTGTGCTATAATAGTCAGGATCCAATGGTTCAGTTAGGCAGAGTATGAGGGAATGTATAGCATGGCTTCATCACGCTATACAACAAGGCTTAATTCCCAGAATATACACTCCTGATCAGGAAAGGGAAAATCTGTCAGTTTTGCTTTTTCTCACATTCGTATTTTTTAAACCTCAAATTCTTTCTAACCTATATATGGAAAAAGCAATGGAAATTTCAGTAAATTCTTCAAAAGCAAACTCAAATTACATTCTCCTCAAAAGTTGCACCTGCTACATGTAATACTTGCAGCTACTCCCAGCAGGCCTCAGAGGGCCATGTAGTTCCTACCTGCCATGTAAATATTTAAGATGCCCAGACTCTCAGAAAAAAGCAGCAGCAGCACCTCTTAAGTCAGCAGCTGTCTACACAGGGATACAAAGAGAGGCATTTAGTAAGAGTTAAGCACAAAAAGCAATGGGCCAGGATGGATGAATAGTCTGTTTCAGTTTATCATTCTTTGGATTTGTAAAATATCAAGTTCTTCATAACTTGAATATGAAGACATTCAAGTTTTTGGGTACATTCTTATTTTTAAAAATGAACAGAAAATTGTCACCCTTCTCTTGTTCAATTTCAGTTAAATTTACTGAAGAAAGATGGCTTCTCGGCCTTCTGTTTGTAAACAAGGCTGCAGCAGAAGGCCCAATGAGCTGCACGTTAACATAATTATCCCAAATCTGTACACCATGGACAGCATGTGAATGATTAGAGTTGAAATTAGGGCACTTCATGGACTGGGGGGGGGCTCACCTAACAGTTTTGGGGCTGTGTCCCCATGCCTCAGTCATGTGCTATCCTTAGCTGCAGTCTTACACTCATTTACCTCAGTGGGACTTATATCTGATGACGTATATAGGATGGCACCGTGCGTTTACAGTAAGCATACATTTTAGAAAGCAAATTACGGAAGAGTACAAAAGCAGAAACAAATTCAAAGCAACACACACAAAAAAGCCAGCAGAGATTTTAAAAATAGGGCATATTGGGCCTATCCAGAAGGAGGACTCACCTCAGACTCATGGACCTCAACCGTTTCTGTCATGAGGAGGAGAGGCAGTCAAGCAAGGAATGGAGCCATTTGGTAGCTGTGCTGTGTTCTCATTCCTGAGAATACAGTATTCAAATATGCTTCTTCGTTGTAGTTTTTTTTGGGGGGAGGTTGCTTCTGTTGGGGGTCAAGAATCTCCTTAGCTACATCTCAAATGTCATGGGATGGAAATCACCGGTGGCTTTTCTCCATGATGCTTCCTTTACTGAAAATGGCAGCCAGGCTACAATCTCCAACAAGAAAGCAGAAGAGGACCATCTGGAGGTAGGAAATGAAGAGGCAGGAAAGGGTTATGATGCTTTTTTTTCTGTGCATTGTCTTTTGCAACGTCTTTGTAGTTTAATCCAGTGGTTCATTTGAAATGATTATGTTTTGCTTTTCTGGCTTGTGTGAGACACTTTCATTTCATTGGCCTTTTTTATCCTCCGTTGTGGTGTGCTTCTTGTGTATTTAGTGTTGCAGCTTATGAAAATTGTACTTTATTTTGTCACCTTCAGTGTTATTTGCAGAGAGAGGAAGACAGTTTTTAAACCAAAACAAGATCAGTGTATAAATTTTAACCCACGACAGAGTCAATCCTCTCTTTAAAGGACTGTACCTCACTGGGAGTAAGCTTGCTTTCTGATGTTACCTCCAAAGGGCAGCCCTGTGTCTCAGCTGCATCTAGCCAATTTGGAACTGAGATTATTTGCTTTTTAAAATCGGTATTCTCAGAGGAAAAATGTGCATTTACACATATTCAGAGACACTTGATCTATTTAAAAACAAGCACCCAATTTATTTCCCTTCAGAAATGAGACACCTTCTGCCCGTCTTGAGATCCACCCTGTTTTTCTTTGTGGACAGTGTACAGCAATAGAAGTCTTGAAATATTTTGGTAGAATAATAAGGAGGACTTCTGCAATAGATGCTGCTGCTAGGAAGATGGGAACGAAGAGTGAACAGGGATGGTTAACCTTTCAGATGGACCAGGAACACAGTGGCTTCACCCCCACTCCCGTGAAATTAGACACAGCTCTGATTTTTCCCTCTGGTGACACAAATTTCCTATTGAACATGAAGGCAAAACTTAATCAGAATGTCAAATCTGTGGATTTTGTTAGCTTCGCCATAAATACTCCTTATAGAAATATTTTGGCCCAACCTGCTGCTTGCACCTCTTTCCCCTCTTGTTCTTTATAAGCAGATAAGAAAAAGAGTTTAAAGAGTTATTCTACAGTCTTAGAGTCTGATAAATGAGTTTGTTTCAGCTCCTATCAACTGTTCTCTGACTTCCTTCCTGAGTCAGTGTCCCTTGGCTGAGCTGCAAATATGGTGAAAGGAAGTGCCCCTCTCGACACTTGGGGCAGTTTCATACATAATATTTTTTCCCACCATGCAGAGAAAAATTGTGTACTATTACGTGTGAAAATTGGATCAATTGTTTTTTGTTTTGGTCAACTAACTGCAGCAAATGTTTAATTTCATTAAGATGGATGCTTATTCATACAGTTTTCATGTTTGACAAACTGCTTAAGGTTTATTTTCTATACTGTATTGGCCTAGTTGTTGGGCCCGTGTATGCAAATATTTCTCCAACTGCATTCAGTGGAGCTCACTTTCAGGTATCAGTACCTAGGATTACAGTTTAATACTGCAACCCTCAAGACACTCACCTGGGAGTAACAACCCACCAGGCAGTGTGTCTTATTTATGAATACACACACATACCTAGAATTACCCTGCAGAGGCTTGTCTATGAAAGAAGGATGAATGAAATACAGCTGTTAGTTATCCATAGATTGCAAAGGGAGAATTTTAAAAGAGAACATTGTTCCGCATACTGTTTTTCCTTCACAGAAACATTTCTAAAAAGTTTAAAATTATATTCTCCTATAATGTCTGTTTTAGGGAAGCCCATTTTTCCTCACATTCAAATGACAAGCTGAATCCAGTTCTACAAGCCCTGTCAGTTAATGTATTGGTTTCTGTAATGTTCAGAATGCCAATTAGCCATTTCTTAGTTAGTGGAATGATAAACTTTTCCCATTGTTGTGCAGATTCAGTGGCCAACATTTATCAGCAATAATCTAATATGTAATCTAAGCTCTTAGGGGTAAAGGGTTGTTCCTTATGATTGAACAATCTATGTAAAGTCCATTAGGAATACAGGAAATGCAGAGAAATCTTCAGAATAAAGTACAGTGTCACTAAAACAATTTTAGTATTTTGTGAACAATGGCCCACTACTAACTTTTTTTCCATGGGTACCAGGGCCAATCTTGGACTGGAATTATTTCAGAATATTTCAGAATCTGGTACATTACATTATACCCGCCAATCTTGGACTGGAATTATTTCAGAATCTGGTACATTAACTCTAGGAAAATGTGGACTTTATTAACATTACACTGTCGTGTATATACTTACAGTGACAATAAATTATATTATTATTAGGAAATTGTGGACTTTAACATTACACTATCTCTTGTTCTTCTTGCCAGTTAGATGTAACTGGAAATAAAATGTTCTTTAGGTAGAAGACAATGGGATTCTTCTGAGAACAAAATCTTAATGAGGGCCAGCCTTTTGGGTGTTGATCTGGGCAGTTGTCAGAGTTACCAATGCAAACTGAATTAAATGGAGTGCCAAGCTGAGCCGAACTAGATGCTAAATGGAAGTGGGAGGGTACCAAGCTGAGCTGAGAATTTGGTTACCTAATACAGGAACTGCAGCGAACTACCCAGAATATAAGAACTGCTAACAATCCAAAATATTAAGAGAAAACTCGGTGGATACTTCTTCTGTGTTGCATAGTATAAGTTGAATTGTACATGATTATTTAAAGTATGGGTGCCTGTTCCATCTGTAAAGTCCTTGTTAGATGAGGTATTTTCTTCTCCAGTGGTCACACATTGTACAGGTATTTTCTCCCAACCCTGGTAAAGTCCTTGTTAGATGAGGTATTTTCTTCTCCAGTGGTCACACATTGTACAGGTATTTTCTCTTGGGCCAACCCTGGTCTAAAGTTTAAGTATATACGGTAACTAATTTTGTTGGAAGCTTTGTTAGGTTCACAACAAGCTGCTGCTTTTAAAGAAAATGGTGTAGAAGAAACTTGGTTTTAAATTGAAAATGGATTGCTGCTTTACTGTTCATTCATTCCTGCCCGCCCTGCCCTTATTACAAGCTTTTACCCTGTTTTCAAGGTTTGGCAGAGAACTTGTTAAAATCTACCATAATATTTTAGTTAATAGAAACAATAAATTACTTTAGATTACCTAGATTATCATTATGTTTAAGTGTCTGATCAGTATGACATATTTCTGTGGAAGAAAGTGCCTTATATGCTGGAGAAATTAATAATCTTGCATCCAAGCTAATACTGGGTTTCTGTGGGAAGAGAGAATTTTTCCAATTTAAGATGACTATCTTCTGCCATTAACCAATGTATTTTTTCCTGGACTTGAGGTAAGACTGCTTGCCTGCTCTTCCTGTGTGTTTGCTTTCTCTTTCTTTTCCTCTTTGACCATGGATTAGAGCAGACATTAAACTCTGTTTCCTGACCCTCAGACCATGCAGTCACATGGCTTTCTTCTATTCACCTTTTTTTTATCATTTTATTCTTCTGACTGTAACTGAAAATCAACTGTAAGTAAAGATGCTTTTTCTTTTCTATTTATATTACTTGTAGAGTTATTATTCATGCAAAGGGCTATTTTCATTGTGAAAGCAAAGGGGCTGGGTGGTTGCTAGCAGATTTGACTATTCTCTTCTACGGCGACCCTGTGCTGCAGCTGTTTTGTTTTTGTGCTTTATGCTGTGCTAAGAGAATGAAAAGAAATGTGTTGTTTTTTTAATTACATAGCAGAGTTCTATAAGGATTTTAAATCAAGGCTTTACGGGATCAATAGCAATTTATCTTAGATTGAAGAACTGATAGGTATAATTCTGAGTATTTGGTTTATATATTAAATACATGTGATCCAATTTCCTTTTTTCATGTAAGAGCCGATCCTTTGTAAGTTTATAAAATTCAGCAATGTTATTGTATATGGTGAATGACTGATGAAATGGTCCGTAGATTTCTTCAATAAAATTTGACTTGTAACTAAAGGGAATTAACAACAACAAAAAAATCCTTCAATATTATGAAAGCTTGAGAAGGCTTTAAAACATATTTAGAAATGACTTAGCTATCTGTATATTTGATGTGCCCTATCAGTTAAAGCAGGAGAATGTGATTTTGGTTCTGACCAGATCCTTCTGCATGAAAAATTGTAGTGGGGCAAAAAACCAGAAGCAACATGCAGACCTCTCATTTTCTTCCTCTTTTCTCTATCTCTGCAAGGCCCATCTACAAGCCATCTTGTAGATTACTTTGGTAGAGAGTTCTGGTTGTATCCAGTGGTGTGCACAATCGATCTGATTAGACCAAGAAATTCCTATGGCTGATTTATTTAGTAATGCAGCCTCTGCTGTCCAATTGAAGAAGTCTTGAGTTCCTACATTGAGTATCTGTTTTTAAATCAACAGCTTTACTATATGTCATGTTTTACAATTTTTAGTATTACTGAAAAGAGAAAGTAGATAGGGTATAATGCACAGGGAAATCGTTGAACCCATCGAAGGAAATCTTAACTTGTGATGGACAGACACTCTTCATGCACTTTCATTAACTTTCACCTTTTAATAGTTTACTTGGTTAATTGTCCCACACATTTTCAAAGGTTTACAACACAAGAGTATACTCTTATCAATATCTTCTCTGCATTTAATGGAATTGTTAAAATACACAGTAGGACTGCAGTATCCACGGAAGTCAATTCCAAGTCCCCATGCAGATGCTGAAAACTGCGGATACTGTATAGCAAACCTGTAATTAGCACTGGATTCCCAGTGTGATGTAGTGGATTAAGTGACAAACTAGGTCTGTGGAGAACAGGGTTCAAATACATACTTGGCCATAGAACCTCCTTGGGGGAATGGGAACTGGTTAAAATCACTTGTTAAATACCTCACTTATCTTGAAAGC